GCAAATGTTGGAATGTTATATATTATCCCATAGATCCCTTATATTGCTTTCATTGTTTTTTCTTTTCTTGCTTTTCTGTCTTCTGTTCTGATTGGGTGACTTCTCTTATCATGTCTTCTAAGTTACTTATTCATTCTTCTGCATTGTCTAGTCTGCATTTGACTGCCTATAGCTTGGCTCTTTTCATAGCCATTGAGTATTATGTTTTTAATTATCTCCTCTTTATAGTTTCAACTTCCTTTTCATATTGTTCTCTCTCTCAATTTATAGTCTCTTTTATTTCTTTCAGTGCTTTCATCACTCCAGTTTTGAAGTCATGATCTAGTAGACTATTGAGATGTATTTCATTGACTGTTCTTTCTGGGGATTCCTATTGTTCTTTTAATTGAGAATCATTCCCCTCCATTTTACTTATATCTCTCTGGCACTATGGATTATGATGTATTAGTTATCTTCTCTGGCCTTCACGGGACTTTTTTTTAAGAGAATGTGTTCTTGTGTAGACTGTGCACCATTAATAATTTTGTCACTAGGTCTGTTTTTAGTATGGATGGTAGCCACGCCTTTCTTCCATGTGTGTTATCTGTTATCCTTTTCATTAGAGATGTCTGGTGTTGTGACCAGAGCCTTCTCTGGTTTTTTAGTGTGGTCTCCTTTTTGTTCTGTGGTTGTCACAGCTCTGTCAGGGACTGGGTCTGTTTCCTTTTTGTTGGGAGTGAGGCTTTCAGACTTGGTTCTGAGCTCTGGTGCATAGTAGGTGGGGTTGGAGCACTTTAAGTATTTTTTCTTGACTCTGCCCTTGTCCTAGCTTTAGTCTCAGGAATGTCAGTGTGCTGCTCTGGTGTCCCCCAGGTTCTCTGCCCTCAGAAATACCAGTGCAATTCCACTGAATTCTGGGTCACACACTTGGTTGGTGATGCACTATCAGGTCAGTGACATCCCCAGCGGCAAACACTGCACCTGCACTTGCCCTGACACACAAACTCTGCTCACTTGTCTTAGATGCCTACATCAGTAGGGCTTCCAGCACTCAGTGACTGCATTCATGCTACCAGATCAGCACCATGCCAAGTGCCAAATGCTGCCCCTTCAATCACCCCACATTGCAAACTCAGCTCACTCTTCCCAGAGGCCCACAGGTCATGCAACTTGGTCAGAACTACTCTCAGCGCTGCATCCACTCAGGGTAGGTGGGCTCACAGAAAATGGCCACACCAGCACTCACCCTCACTCTATGGCAGAACTCTAGTCCTTGCCCATTTGTCTTAGATGTGTGGGTCCACAAAGGCACCTGCATAGCAAAATGGTCCCCTTTGCTTGGTGTTGTAAACAAATTTCAGTCCTGCCTGTGAAGTTGTGGAGCCTCTGGGTATGAATTCGTGTTTCAAATCCACCTCTGCCTGGGAGCTGAACACTAAGGGATATGGTGGTTGTGGTGGAGCCCTGCCTCTCTTCTCCTAAGAACACACCAGCAATGGTGCCCCAGGCCTGTGTAGACAAAGGCTATGGCCCAGCCTCATTGTGCTCCTCCCTGAAATGCACACCAGCAGTACTGCTTTCTTGTTTTTAATTTTATGGGGAACTCAGGCTGTTTTGTTCTCTATACCCTCCCAGACATAGTTCATAGCATACTTCAGCCCCCTGAGATTGCCTCTGTGCAGTTGGCCCCAGACCACCACTTGGTTCTGGCAGCCATTCCCAGCCCACCCCCTGTTGGTTTGTGTCTAGGGCTGAGGTCACAGGGAAATTTAGTGCTCATTTTACTTATTGTTTTGTGGGCCAAGGGCTACTTTGCACAGATACAAGACTTGGAGTCCCCCTCCACCCAGTTTAAGAGTGTGAATCCTTCTTTCTCACTCCCACACTGTTGGATTCATCCCACAATATTTTCGTTTTACTTTTTTCCTACCAGATTTGTGGTGAATTTTGTCTTTCGAAGAAGGTGATGTTCTGTCAATGTTCAGTAGGTGTTCTGAGTGAATGGGTGGATCCCGGGGTGTCTTTTTTGGTGTATATGTGGGAAAGGGTGAGCTACAAGTGTCTTTCTACTCCACCATCTTGGCTGCTCCTTACTTCTCTTTCTTAGATATGATGCTGAAATTACTAATAATTAGCCAGAATTCTCAAACAATGTTTCCATGATCTATTCAGACATATATTGTATACCTGTCAGAAAATTAACATGACATTTCTTATTTTTAAAAAATATTGACAGCACATTCGGTAGGGAATAAGTAAATATAAGTGTAATCTTATGAATTTTCAATAAAAGGATGAACCGATGGAAAGTCTGGTAGCCATGTACAGTGAACATCAGTTATCTCTTTTCTACCTTCCTTGATAATGCCTTTTTCTGTGGTACTAATTCTTTATCTTCCCTCTACTGGTCAAAACTTCTCCACTCAAAGGCATTGGTGGTATAGTGGTGAGCATAGCTGCCTTCCAAAACTTCTCCACTCTCCACTGTGAACCAAATTTAAAACTAAAATATCTTAGCCAGACATCCAAAGCCAAACATAGTTTTATCTTAATACCACTCCCCCACAATTCATATAATTCTAGGAAATAAAGGTGAACATGTCAGTCTAATACTGGAAGACACTGCACTTCATTTGAATGTCTATTGGTGGATGTCTAATATCAGTTTTAGATTTTTTTTCCTCTTGGGCTAAATCTAATTCCCCTAAAGTAAATATTTAAGTATTTTCTCTGATGGGTTTAAGCCTTACAAGTTATTTATTAATTATAGACTAGAATCATCCTTGTATTATGGGATAATGAAATACAAAATACATTTCAATTTGCTTCTCCACTCACTCTCCTCTTTCTTTTAGAGAATAAAATTTTATTGTTGAATATTAATGCATAATTAAAATATATCTATTTTAATTATTTATATTTATTTATTGAAGTATAGTCAATTTACAATGTTATGTCAATTTCTGGTGTACAGCATAATGCTTCAGTCATACATTAACATACATATATTCTTTTTTATATTCTTTTTCACCATGTTACTACAAGATATTGAATATAGTTCTCTGTGCTATACAGTATGGAAACGTTGTTTATATATTATATATATATATTAGTATCTGCAAATCTTAAGCTCTCAGCTTAGCCCTTCCCACTCTCTTCTCCCTCTGGAAACCATAAGTTTGTTTTCTATATCTATGAGTCTTTTATTTAAATAATTTCATCTATTTTTTAGATGTTACATATAAGTGATATCATATGGCATTTTTCTTTCTCTTTCTGACTTCGCTTAGAATGATATATCCCAGGTCCATTCACATTGCTTTAAATGGCATCATTTTATAATTTTTTTATGGATATGCATTATTCCATTGTGTAAAGATACAACTTCTTTATCCAGTCATCTGTCCTCTTGTTAATCTTACTGGAGAAGCCAAATCTTACTGGAGGGACCAACGCTCACTGCCTAGGTCACAAGTGGAATACTCAATTTGTTTTGGCTTCTTTGAACTGAAAATTGTTGTGTTAGAGGATTTCATTTCCTATGATGATGCCTTTTTCCACACAGTAATGTTCCCAAAGTTTAGTCATACCTTTCCTGAATCTCCCTACATGGACAGAAATGTCGTTTCACCATGAGAGACACAAGCTCATGAACTTTATACTTCCAGAATGATTCAAGAGTTGGATGTAAGACTGAGGTTAGAATCAATGCATTAAGTTGTTCAACAAATTACACAGACTTAGTATATGCCAACCTCAGACACTGGCTGCAACTGGAGTCAGGGTATTCACAAACCAGAAAGCATCACTGAATTTGATGTCCAGAGTTTTTACTTGGGCTTTATAATTTATTAAATCCCTGGACACGTGATTAATCTCCATCTCCAGCACCATCTCCTCCCATCTTCCCAGAGTCCAGCGTGTCCCAAATTTTCAACCCTCTTATTATGTGTTTGGTCTTTCTGGGATTAGCTCTCATGCTGAAGTTAACGTGGGGCCCACCACCATGAGTCACCTCATTAGCATAATAGACACTCTTCTCATTCAGGACATTCCAAGAGTTTTGAAGCTCTGTGTCTGGTACCAGAAATAAAGGACAGATATTTTATTTATTATACCATTGATAATAACTCTAAAAATATGGTATGCATGAGAACTACAAAGGAGATTGTTTAAAATTTTACCCTTTGTAGAACTGAATCGAGGCTCAGAACTTCCTAACTTTCAGGAGCATATAAAGAATGCTACATTGCTGATGAGACATGTAAATTGGTACAATCACCTGAGAAGTAAATATCTGTCAGTGTCCACTTCAACCTGAACATACAAATAAACCTATTCCAGCAAATCTGCTTCTAGGTAAATACCTAATAAAAGTGGCCACTGTCAGGAAAAACTGAAATATTTTGAAACACACACTCACCCACACAAAAGATTACATGGTGTCTGTCTAGCTCACCCTTTGAATATTTCAAATTCAATAATACTGAGGTATTTTCTAACTCTGTAGGTAGTAGGAAACATACAGTACTATAAATAATTATTTTTTTTTGTAGAAATGCTAATGTACTTAATCTTGTGGAATGCAACTGCTGGGTACCATTTCCTCAGTGTGCTGTGGTTTGTCTAGATTTCTTCTTTAAAGGAACCCTTCATATCCTCTCTAAGTCACCATTTCTAAGAGGGTCAACACTTAAATTGGTGTGAAATACAAGACATAAAATATGATAGCACATCTTAATTTGACCTTCAAGGCCTTTTACATTCTGGTCTCAAGCATCATTTCCAAATGTACCTTTTTGTTTCCCTTTCTCAACTCATACAAAGACTGTTACTGACACTTCAACCATCTTGCATGATGTCTTCATTCATTACCCAATTCCTCTCCCAGAATGCATGCTCACACACACAAACACACACAAACAGGACCACTTCCACCTGCCTTCCTTTCCTCTTTGAACATTTTGAGCACTACTGTGAGCCATTCACTTCAATTTCAATTAATCATCTTACATAATTACCTTAGTGCATACCAATCTCTCTTTTTGCTTGGCAAGTTCTGAATGCTTATCCTTCTTGTTATTAACTGATTTGTTATCTGGTCCTGAGGTGAAGCCTTTTATGCATATGAGTTGAAAGAGAAGCAGTCAAGGGAATGGTTGATGAAGAAGTATAAAAATTGCCACGTAGGAAAATCTAGGACAGCAAAAAGAAACAAACAAACAAAAATAATTGATCATGCAGAGAAACTGTGAAACCAATTTTCTTTATGCTTTAAGTCCAGGATTACCTCCCTGCCTAGTTCATTGGATTTCAAACCTAGGAATTTGCCCATGTGGTCCCACAACATCTCCACTTTCTGCTTCTGCTATTCATTCTTGTGGAATTTTCTGTATGACATCTGCCTTCAGCCTGTCTTTGTCTTCTGGTTTCTGCTCATGTCCCTTCATCCCAGTTCTTTGTGACTTGTCAGATGTCACTGAGATCAAAGCCATGAAGTTCCTTATACCATTCCTGGTGCAGGGTAGGTGCTCAGTGAGGATTTTTCTTCTTCAAGTAGCTCAGATTTGTTATTATGCTTCCCGTGGAAGTGAGCAAAAGTCTTTTATAAAATTAGGAAATAACAGCAACCTGTGTTGTTTCTTGGTCAAAGATGTCAGCCTGAGGTAGAATTCCATGTTGGATGCTTGGAGAGTCAGTGGGAGCACCACAAGACCCTCCCCCTCCTTGCCTCTCTTGAAGGACTCACTTGCTCATTGTCCTTTGTGGGCTTAAGGAGCAAGTCTGAACTCACAGCTCCTTGTTCACATCAGAGCCTGCCATCCAACCACTGTTGCCCTGACTCCATCCTCTCCTCCAGCAGCACCAGCTCAACTCCAGAGTAGAAGCTGAGAGCAGTGTCTGTAGATCAGAGTCCAGACAGCTAGCTCTTCCTGCATAAAGTGGGGTGCCCCTGCACTGAGCTGTGTTGAATGGCAGCAAACATCCACTTGTTAGCAGGTAGGGCTTCCCCCTTCCCCACTCTCTCAGCCTTTGTGTCTCTTCCCCCTCTCCCCTTCTTCCCCTCCATTCTTCTCTAACACACCCTTGAATGGATGATACTGACTTGCAGCTATTAACTTAGTTCTTTTTTATAAACCCAGTAGTTTATTTCAAAGTAGAAATGTTAGGCTTACTGGACAAAATCCCACTACAATTGACACTTATACAGACGCTAGACTACTGTACATTTAATAAAAGAAAAAAGCAAGAAGGGCCAATGTGGTGGAGTAGAACGACACTCTTTGCTCACCTCTCCCACAAATGCACCAAGACTGACATCCACTGATCCACCTACCCAATCAGGAAGTCTGCTGAACTTTGACAGAACCTCACGTTCATCAAAAGACAAAACACGCGAGAGACTTCCGGGCAAGATGGCGGAGTAGAAGGACGCTTGTAAGTCACCCTCTCCCACATATACACCAAGACCCACATCTACGGACCCACTCGGCCAACCAGAGC